TGGGAGCCAGGCCCAGGAATAGGACCCAGGAGTCCGGGGCTGCACGGAGGGTCGGTGTGGGAGCCAGGAACAGGACCCAGGCGCCCTCCCCCGCATTGGCAGGCAGGCGCTGACCCCACGCAGGCGGCTGGGAGTGAGTCTCTGGCTCCCCCTGGCGGAGCCGCCACTGGAACTGCGGGGCCGGGGGCGGCGCGCAGTGATGATGGTATCAGCGTCACCGCGGCGACACCCGGAAGTTGCTGCAGCAGGCGGTGAGTGCGGGAACCCTCCCTCCCTCCGGGCGAGGTTCCGGCCCCCGCCCCGCCGGGCCAGCCCCCCCTTGCTCCCCGAGGGCTGTCCCTTCCCCCTCCCGCCCCAGGGCCTACCCCGGCCCCCACCTACCCTGGGGATCCCGGCCTCCTGCCCTACAGCGCCACCCCCCATCCTAGCCCGGCTCCCCGGCTCCCCCTCATTCTTAGGGGACCCCTCCCGCCCCACGGACCCCCACCCCTTGCAGCGCCCCTCCTACGGGCCCCTCCACACCGGGCTGGACTCTCTCTCTCCAGCCCCCCGCCGCTGCCCCCAAGGCTGGGACCGGCATCCCCTTTCTCCTCAGGGCTCACTCCCCCCGGGGTCTCAGCCCCCACGGGGTGAAGGCTCATGTGAGCACAGCTCCTCCTGGAGTTCGTTGACTGAGATTTCCCTTATGGCTGCTCTATCCCCAGGGGCAGGCAGTGGTTTGTGGTCCCAGATTGGTAACAGAAGACACTCAGGCAGTCTTAGAAATTGTACAGCCCCCCGGTCATGCAGGCACCGCACAGGTGAAAAGGAAGAGAAGGGAAGGTCACTTCCTCAGTGTAATTTATAATCTAGCCCAAGACCAAAGACTGAGTAGGTAGGGAACGGTGCGGCTGGGAGGGAAGGGAAGGAGGTGACAGCAGCTTGGATTGGGTATTAGGGTTCCTTTTAATGCCTGAGGGTATGAGCTACTTAATAGGCCAATACCTTTGGCCTTGTGTTTGTGGTTACGAATTATGCCCCATGTCTATAGCATGGCTCAAAGCCTTCCCCAGGAAAGGAAAGAGACGTGGTGCTTTTTGTATAATATCTAAGGATTTACGGTTCTGTCTAAGGAACCTTTCCTTAAGATCATATGCACTTCCATGTGCGCTCTTCCTGACATTTACAAATAGTAAAGAATGGTTTGTTGGGAAATAACATGCCATTACCATTCTGTGGGTGCAGGTCACAATGATAGTGGCAGAGCTGCACTCGCTGCTTCATTCAGCAGCCTGTGTAATTTGGTCAGAACTGCAAGAGGCCGCCTCTCCTGTTGAGGGGCATGTGTAACTCCTGGAGTTAATGTGCCCACATCAAACAAACTGTGTGTGCCAAGAATCTTCTAGTCCACTTGTGCATGTTGCTACTCTAGCAAAACAGCTGTAAACTCTGTGGAGACTGGAGAGTAGGATACCTACACTAATAATGTGAGGTGGAAGTTGCACTAGACTCTTTGCTTTCTGGTTCCTTTAACTATACCCCAAGTGCACTGGTAGGGGATGTCTTAAAACTAATATTTTAGTAAATCTAAACAAAAAGAGAGAGAGAGCTGAGATGTTGTTCAGTGGCTACAGCAGGAGAGTTGGAGTCTGGACTTCTGAGTTCAGTTTCCAGCTCTACTGCAGATTCACTCTGTGACAACGGGCATGTGAGTTCGCTGCCTCAGTTTCCTTGTTTATAAAATGGGAGTAAAACCTACCTCCTGGGAATACGTGAAGGGCTTAATTTTTGTGAAGCACTCTGAGATCCTCTGCTGGAAGGATAGTTATTATTAGATCCAGTGTTAGTATTAGCCTAAGTACATTTAGTTAAATATTTCTCAGTTTGCCTCAGTCTCTGATTTCATGTGCTCTACATTCCCTTTCCCCAGGCTGAGCTCTCAGGGATGGCCCAACTAGGTGCGATAGCGGCGCTGTCTGTTAGTTTTCTGGCTGCAACTCTCTTCTCTGCAGTACACAAAATTGAAGAAGGACATATTGGCGTTTATTATAGGTAAGACATGCATCTGGAATATTGTTTGGGTTCACAGTATTTTGAAACCACTATGCAATGGCTTCCCCATCAGATGCCAATATTCTGTCAAAGAGGGATGAAGTTGGGGAAAGACGTAGTTTGTGGTCCCAGATTGGTAACAGAAGACACTGAGACAGTCTTAGAAATTATCAGTAATTCCACTTTAGTATGAAATATCTTGTGACTCATCCTCCTTCACCTGGATGTAAAGTCTGAGTTCGAGCTTCTGTGTTTTCCCCAGAAGAGTTGATGACACCCCATAACCCAGATATTGAAATAAGGATTGCAGCTCTCTGCTCTGCTTCAGGTGCTTGTGATGATATCAGCTGTGTTAGGAGAGAAACAGACGTTCAAGTTATGGTCTTGGCTGGTTGGCAGGTGAAGGAGGGACTGACTATGGAGGGAGTGATGTTGGTGAAAGGTGCAGACCTGACAGCCATGAGGATTTAAGTCCTCTTCATCCTCAGATAAGATACAGCATTGGCAGCGCCAACTTCCCTGCTAATAGACGTGCCCTGACTTAAAGGGACCATCTCTATGTGTGAGAAAAAGTAATTCAGCCTCCATGGCTTATTCAACCCTTTGCACCTCTGCTGAACCTGCCAACAAGGGAGCCGATGAGTGACAAATGTTCTGGCATGTTTTTGTGATGTGGTCACTGGTCCATTGGGGACTGGATTGAGGGACTTCCCACCAACCCATTCCACATAGGCTACTGAACAGCTGTTGGGTGGTAACAACTTTTGATTACTATCAGCCTGGGCTGGATTTGAACCGATGACCTGGAGGTGAAAGGTCCAAATCCCATGGCACTGATTTTCAATTGTTTAGTCTTAAGGTATATTTAGTCCATCTCCATTTGTTTTCTGAGACTAGCAGGCTCTCCAGCTGCTTTGGGTTATTTGTGTCATTAGGGTTCGTTAATTGCTATGGTGCTTTTCTTATGTTTTGATCATAACTTTGAAAAGGTTTTGAAATCCACAATCATAATGCTGTGTGTCTGACTCTTCGCTAGCTGGTGACTTTTCATATCCTAACTGGCAATTGAATGTGGCTTGTGACAGAGCAAAACCAACCCCCCACAAACACAGAGAACAACTTTTCCTTTCTTATCAAAGACAGGAAGAGCTTGTATGGTTTTAGTATTTGCTCATTATCTAAAGTGTCTTCAGTATGTTGTGAATTCAGGGTACACAGACTGTATCAAGGACTTAAATTAAAGGAGAAAAGTGTCCAAGCACAGATGACAAATACAGATATATTTGCAGATATCTGTCTGTGTTTGGAAGTGACAAGATTATGTCAGTTTATTTATCTTTTCAGTGCATCTAATCTTTAATGCTTCCGTGCCTTCCTATAGTCAAAGTATCTGCGGATACTTGGGAATAAACTGTGTACCATTCTTCTTTGTTTCTTCTCCTGCAGAGGTGGCGCATTGCTGACTTCCACCAGTGGACCTGGCTTCCACCTTATGCTCCCCTTTATAACCTCCTACAAATCTGTGCAGGTATTTTTGCATTTGTCTGCTTACATTAGTGTTTTCCCTCCAAATTGGTCAGAAAATGCTGCATTTGGGACATCACAATCTTTTCTAGGGAAACAGCCTATGATGTTGCTAGCACAAGACTCATGATGACACTTTCAGGAACCTCCCAGAGGAGAATCTAGGCAGGAGAGGGAAATTCCCTTATGCTCAGTGTGAGCCTGATGCAATGTTCACTGAAGTCAGTGGGAGTTAGGCCATTTTCACCCTTTGTGTAGGTAGAGTCTGACCATGTGCAGAGGACCAGTGCAAGGGTTATGTACCACTTAAAGCCCCGTGGGTACATAAGGCTTCTTTTGGACCTCTTCATGGGGCCATTTTCCCCCAGAGCAGAGAGAGACATAGAGACCCTGCACTGTAAATGATCTTTTGCATTACATTCTCCCTTTTTGTAGTTCCTCCTACTCCAACCTCAGGTAGATATAACAGACTGCTGCAAGGTTTGCATCACTGGAGTTGCCCCATGCCTGCTCAGAACTTTCTGGGCTTTTTCCCCATTATCTTTCTCTTGGGATGGTACATCTTTCTTTTCCCCAGTTTTTCTTTCAAGCAGGAGAATAAACATTCTGAAGTGGGGACTTGGAACCTGTCCAGTAAACTTGCAGGCTAGATCACTGGCAAACGCACTCAAAGAGTTATGCGGTGCTGCATTCTTTCTGTTGAGCAACCTTTGGACAAGTGGCTTTCAGGTTTATCCCTAGAGCTGACAAGCACTGGACAGCAAATGGTGGAAGAATCAATAGAAGCAGATTTAGTTCTAGCTTTTGCAGTTCCCCAGGGTATTCCAGGACAAATGGGTGATATAACGAGGAACCTGAGAGATGATACTCTGTAAGATGGCAGGAAAGCTGCTGAAAAACAAAGGAACTACATAACTCTTGTACTGTAAGCAGGCTGGCTCTTAACTGGATCTTTGTTCTCTCTCTCTCTCCAGACTACATTGCAGACAGATGAGGTGAAAAATGTTCCTTGTGGTACCAGGTGAGTGTCAGACCATCATCTGGCACAGCAATCAAGTTACACCAGTTTTTCTTCTTTGTTTCTCCCCATGCTGAATCATAGCTTGCAGTACTTGAATGTACTTTGCCCTTTGTTCCTGTTAGCAGGCTGGTCAGATGGCTTCCTGACCTGCCCCTGAACTGGATCCTATGTTTTCAGGAAGCTCCAACATACCTTAACATTTGTTGCCTTATTGTAGCTGCATGTTTGGTGTGTTTTAGTTTGTTCTTAGTATGAAAATAATAACACTCTGCTCTTAGTGTTTCACCACTTCAGAATAACATACCGTAAATAATGCGACTGTTTAATAGTAACAACGAGAGAGAACTTCCTATAACTTAACAGTTCTCTTAAAGTCTACTGATTTGATTCATCCCTGGCAAAAAAAAAAGACTTCTGCTGGCATAAACCAGGATGTAAGGCTCCCAGTAGCAGGAAGTCCATCAGGGTATAGGTTGTGGTGACTACAGCTTCCCTCTACTGATAGCTCATCAAGCCTGAAAATTGTGTTGTGCTGACTGGGGCAGGGCCATGGACAGGGCAGGCAGGGAACATGCTGTTTTAGAGCCTCCACTCTGCAGCCTCAGCTGGTGGGGCTTCTGCAGAGTGTCAGGTAGAAGCTGACTCTGGCTTCCCACAGTGCTGCCCTGGGGAAGGTGGCAGTGCAAATACCCTACCCTCTCCAGGGCATGAATGTCCTCATGGGTGTGACTGCTCTGGTCTCTAGGCTTGAGAGAGGACCTTAGTCTCCATGGCCTGATTCTTGGCCTACTTAAATTTCAAGTGAGGATAGACTGCATTACAATTGGCTTCAGAGCCCTTTCCCTGTCTAATCCTTTACTTAGCACCTTCTCTCTATGGATCTAAAATCCTGAGCCTCACCTGCTCTCTGTGAAGCAGGTTTTATCCCCATTTTGCCAGTGGGAAAATAGAGGCACAAAGAGTTTAAGTGACTCGTGTGAAGTGTCAAGAGAGTCAAAGAACTAAGGAAAGGATTCAGGAGTCCAGAGACCCCCGCGCACTCTAATCATTAGACCTGCTCCTCCCAAACTAGAACCCATTATTCCTACCTTACACGTAGCTAAATCCAGAGTAAACTGGGCCATTGTTCTTGGGGTTCCCTCGAAACCTTCCACTTGGATTTGCTGTAAGTGCAGGCCCACCACTGTGAATTACTGTTACAAAGGTTGTGAAGTGTCCCTTTCAGTCCGCTAGAGGGTGTTGTCTCCATGACTGGTCCCTCCTGAGGTTGTCTATGTGGCAGTTGCATGATCAGCCTCTAGCAAATTGTGAAATAAGAATTTGTTTTTACGAATGGGTTCAGATGCAGGGTTGTGTTGCTGGGAGCTCTGGTCTCTGCCCCCCCACCCTAGTCTCCTTTAAGTGCTGAATAATTATGGATAAGCAGTGGCTTGTTCTAGAAGAGCCAGTACACCATACATCTTACACCCACCCCGGACCCTGGCTGTATCCCTGAACAGCTTTATTTGGTTCCAAATGTTACACTGGAATGTTACATCCTCCTTTGATTTTTCTCTTCCTTTCACAGTGGTGGAGTGATGATTTATTTTGACAGGATCGAGGTGGTGAATTTCCTGATCCAAGGTGCTGGTGAGTTATCTCTGCCAATGAGTCTGCACGGCTACAGTATGAAGGACTGTCAGTCACATCTGAGCGGTAGCACGGCTTTTGCCTTCTGAAAGCTCCTTATGTTCCTGCTAATGCAGCATGGGGTTGAGAAATCATATCTGCTTGTGCAGTGATGGATTTTGGAGGCCAGAAGAGCCATAGAAATTCAGCAGTGTCCCCTTTAAAGCCCTCTGCTCTTTGGGCGTAAATACTTAAAATTTAAAATTAAGTTTAAACTTAAAAGACACAGAACCAGTTTTTCTATTTTTTATATATTTCTCTGTGTTTTATTCTCACTGACATGTTCTTATTACTTACTACCACTGATATACTCATTTTTCTAGTACCTTTCATTGTAATATCTATAATGCCTATCAGATGATTATTATTTATATCATAGTAGCCCCTATAAATCCCAGTGGTTGTGTGCTAGGCACTGTCATGAAGCGCTAACAATCTAAATAGGCAAAGGGTGGGAGAAAGGGGTACAGAATACGATCAGAGGATTGACATGTGAGACACAGATTAAGTGATTTGAGCACCTCTCACTCGAAATATGTCACAAACTGATGTATAGAGTCCCACTGAAATGCAGCCACCTCTGGGGTGGCATGCAACAGCCATCTAGCACGTTGGAAAAGAGTGGAATGAGGGGATACATTGGCCAAGAACATCAGGGCAAACCTCTCTGCTTGTGAATACACTGGTGGGATCACAAAAATTCCTGGTTAGTGGGACAGAACCAGACCGTTTTAGGTTCCATTGATTAAAAGTAAATCCATGTACAGCTTTGGGCCTGGGGGCTTCTTCCTGCTCTGAGAGTCTCACAAATTGCTATGTACATGTCCAAATTCACTAATCCACATATCATATTGTTCAGACACATAATCCTTGTCTCACCGCTTCTCAGCAAAGATTTAATAGCAGATGTTGTAGAATGGTCTGGTGTTACTAAGACTTCATTATGTTTACAAAGCATATGACAGAACATTGGTTAGTACATTATGAAGTATTAGCATCAATAATTAAACCTTTCCTGTCAAAATAAATGAACAAAGTGCGCTTCTGCAGTGCAGAGATCTTCTTTCCATTTTGTTCATTCGCTAGTGGCAAGGCTCCAGGCATTGACAGTGAGTCGCCCCCAGTGACTAGTACAGATGTGTCAGGCTCCCATTGCATGTATCCCGGGTGGAGCCCGACTCGAGGCCACCGCCACCCTAGTCTCCTAATGCAAACCTCTCTTTCTCACCAGTGTATGACATAGTGAAGAACTACACAGCAGACTATGACAAAGCACTCATCTTCAACAAGATTCACCATGAGCTGAACCAGTTCTGCAGTGTTCATACTCTTCAGGAGGTCTACATTGAGCTGTTTGGTGAGCCCCATCTCTGCCCTGGGTCACTAACCTTTACAGATGAATTGTCACATTCACCCGAACCTAACAACATCTACTGTTGCTTCAGCAAGGTTTTCTGCTGCTACCACATAAAATCTTGTAGTACACAATCAGAGCCTCCTTTAGGCCCCTCTCCATAACTGATGGGATTCTGATGAGATCACTCCAGTAGCTGTTCTGTTCGTGACCAGGGTTGGTTCAGTTTAATTAGTTCTAGTTACACGTACCTACACATACATGTACTTACACTACCTCCAGAAGTATAAGGAATGTGTAACTATAATTAAACTGAACCAATCCTAGTCACAAACAGAGCAGCTGATTGTCCTAGCGAAGGTGTGGAAGCTTCATCAGGTAGATGCTCTGTTTAGCTAACCCTTGCAAAATAGTCCTGGGAAATTTACCGGCCCAATCACAAAAAATATAAACGAGAGCTTGGTCGCCTGTCAAGAAATGTTACTCATTCAGGGCAAGCAAAATCCTGTATGGTGAGTTTATATCTCAGTTCTACTAAAGCAGCTATTACCATACTATCTAGGGATGCCATGTGGGTGTTCAAGAATAGGGGAATCTCTCAGGATGGGACAGATGCTCCTTCATTCTAGACTGCAGGTCATCTTAAAACTAGACTGTGCAGAGACTAGGAGAACCTGTTACAGGAGGGTGTCCTGACAGGAGAGGGACAAACAAAATGTCTGAATTGACCTTTACCCTTTCTAAATTATTTGGTTATTCTCAGGATGAATTTTTCTTTTGAAATTATGAGAATGTCTTTGCAATACTTATCTCAAGCTGGAGCCCAATCTCACTGTGTGGCATTTGCACAGACACCCTGCATGTTCGTCCTTGAGACTCCATGATCTGTTCTTCCTATCGGCTGTGTGATAGGAAGCTAATCATTAACTACTGTATCTGAACTGCACTTTTTAAGGGACTAAGAGATCCCTGTTTTGACCGTGCACTGCTACAAAATATAGCATTGGGACTTAGTTCTATAGAGAAACAGGAGGGGAATTTTCAGAAAGTATATTCATTCTTCACCCATAGATGTCTCCAGATGACATCAGCAGCTGTGGACGACAGTAGCTAAAAAGAGACTAAAGTAAACTGATTTGCACTGAAGGAAGAGTCTGTATAAATTTATATGCACTCCTGCATGATTGTTTCTGTCTGAGCAGGATGCTTTTTGGCTGAGGAGTTAGAAATGGGGTGCAGCCCATTGAATACAGACCTATGTCATGATTCCCTGCCTCCACATCTGGAGGCAGATGCAGGAAACTGATAACAGCTGTTTCCTAAACTCCTGGCTGAACTGTGTTTTGAATGTGAATTCCAGACACCCAAACAGGGACAAAGCTAATAACAGCCCTGAAAGTGATCCAGGCTCACTCCCTCAGTTAATTTTTTATTTTCCTGTTGCATTTCTCAGCAGGCCCCAATGGAACATACAACCTTCCTTGGAGCTTTCATTGCAGCAGGGCTTTGAATTCTTTATTTCCTTTTGAAATTCCCCAGCTACACTGAAGTTAATTCCTACCCACTGAGCCAAGTGGATTTGCTGATGAAAATGTGTCCAGCCTATTAAACTAGCGAATGTGACCTTTCACCTTTCTCTCGTTCTGTCTCTTGCTGGCACACATTCAGCCCGGGTAGATCAAGGCCTGGCTAGGCCAGGTTTTAAATTACTGGGACTGCTCCAGGACCCGTTTGGAATGATAATGATAGTGGACATTGTTTAGAATAGCTCAGAATTTACTTGCGCACACACACCATGCTTGTGGGCATTTCCTGTGAGTACTCACTGGAGGCTTGTGGCATCCCTGAGTTCCTCTAACCCAGAAATAGAAGTCAGGAAGGATCCAGATCCCCTGTTGCCTGAGGACCCTGGACACTGCAGGAAACTTGCCAAGCAGTGTACACCCACCTGATCTCGTAACATGACACCGCTCAGTGCTCAGAGAAAGATGCAAGTCCCTTGAGGTCCCTGCTGATATGATGTCCTGGGGTAATATTCCTTCCCTGGTTCTGAATTTGTCAGTCAGATGTGCCCTGTGCTTCTGAGTGGTAGGCACAGTGGATAAGGATCCAATCCCAGTTATCCCTTGAGATACTGCCAGTTGCCTGAGTAATTGTCCATTTATTCCCAGTAATGTGGATTCTGAGAATACCTCCCGGGTCCATAAATCCCAAAGGTATATTACTGGAGCTGTGGAAGGTTGCAGGAGTTTGTAAATCCTCTTCTTTTTTTAGATATTGTTGGTGCAAGTTCACCATCATGACAGACCACCCACCCGCTATTCGTCCTCCCCACCCCACGCCAATTACGGTATTTTGGTTTCACTGCCAGTTTTGTCTGGTCTTGCATCTTGCTTGTGATACCATCTTGTTTTGCTTGTGTTCAGCCTGAAAATTTAAATCAAACCTGATTTACTGAACGGCTTCAGGACCTGGCTCAAGATTGGGATTTTATTAGAAAAAAAAAAGTCCAAACACACACAGGTGTCTCTTGATTTCCCCTATGAGATGTGTAGCCTGTGTGTATCTAACCTCAACTTGTGTTTCGTTTCCAAGAGTGCTAAATCAAAGCCTATCCTGAATAACTCCACAGATGATCTGAGAGGCAAATGCCTTGTGTGTTCTTTAACCATGTCTCACTTTTTTGATATCAGATCAGATTGATGAAAACCTTAAACTGGCTTTGCAGCAGGACCTGACCACCATGGCTCCTGGACTCATTATACAGGTAATCAGAGTCCCACCTGGGCTGTACAAGGTGCTGGTCATGGGGAGGACAGTCACGTCTGGTACAGAAATGCTTACGAGATTGGGTGTGCAGTGCTGGGCAGGGATGGAGTGCTGTACGTCATTTCTGGAAAACTGCTCTACCAACTACACTCCATGTTGAGTCCCTTGAGGCAACTAATTACCTTTGGCCCAATTTTAAGTCCCACACTTTTGTTGCCAGTGTTTTGGTTGCTCGCGGCGTGTTGGCTGTTTGTTTACCTTCTATTCGCTGTCTTTCCAGGCGGTCCGCGTTACGAAGCCAAACATTCCAGAAACAATTCGGAGGAATTATGAACTCATGTAAGTGCCTGGGACTCTCACCTTTGTGTTACCAAAGTGAATTTGTCATCCAGACTAATATGTTTTCATAGTATGCTGTGATCTCAGTGCCCTCTACCAGGCATGCTCTTTTAGCCTCATGCTGCTTCATTGCCATGGGCGGGAGGCCCAAGTCATGGGAATGGCATCATGCAAGCATGCCTCCGCTGTTGGGAAGGTTTTCTGTATTTTGTGTGTGTGCAGGCATTTGGGTGACAAAAGTGGTTCATTTGGGGGCCTGTTGATCTTGACACTGTGCCTTCAAGGCTTTATAAAAGGGCCTCTTGGTGAGTGTGCACGAATGGCAGGGTGGATAAATTCTACCCGTAATCCTGCTGTTTGAATGGCGATGAAGAAATTGTTGATACGACAGGCTGGAGACTTCACAAAGCTTTGAAATAACTTGTTTTAATAACACTTGACGACATGATCCTGTTGTTTCAACATTTTCTAAGCCAGCAGCCTGCCTTGCACTGACCATTCAGAAAAGAACACAGGTTCTCTGAGCACTTTGCCACCAAAGAGGGTGTAATCAAAAAAGGTCTTCCTTTCTCCCCGAATCCTCTCCCAAGCCCGTGTCCCTAGCCCCAGAAGTCCAGGTAGCTTGTGTGTGATGGGGCCCAATATGGAGAGTCCTTATTTCTACAATCAGCCCATTTTTATCTCTGTCGCTATAAATACAGCACGGTGTGTGGTGTACTTTGGAGAGTGGCTAGTTCTTCAGGCCTGACTGCTGCTCCTTGAGCTGTTTTTGAAATGGTTGAAATTTTAGGAGAAAACATGATGGTGGTGTTTTCAAAAGAGAATGTTCGTTAATTTCACTTCGTTCTACGGAGCCATTTTACTAAGTAAAAAAAAGTAGCATTTGATCCTGCACGTACACCTACCAAAGCTATTTACTTACAAATGGAAAAGCAATTTCAAAGTGAGAAATGGAAAACTTATAGCTATGGCTATGTTGAAGGCTAAGGTTTTTTATATAGCTTCACTTCCTGCTTTATGTTCCTAATTTAATAATTTGATACCTCCACTAACAGGAACTTTATATGCATGTATCCCAGTAATTAGTGCTTATATCCTCTATAAACTGCCCTCCACTGGAGGGTGATATGCTCACTGGAGCAGCTCTGATTCACCCAGCAGAGGGCAGCAGTACACATTCCATACTGTGTGATCATGCAAAAGGAGCACCGTTACTTGTGGGAGAGGGGAGGGCTTTTTATTTATCGGGTCAGAAAAATGGAGTGGAGTCTTTGTCTATGCAATTAGGAAGGTAGAGTGTGAGCGTATGCATTGTTCTCTCCACTACCTGCCCTTGCAAATGCACTCCGGAGAGAGAATCTACCCAGTATCATGCGTGCGGGTAGCAGTGGGACAAGCGTGGAAGGCGTGGCTGTCACCTAAGGAGGATGGCTGCACTTCTGAGAACTCCTATCCTGTGTGGTCGCTGCAGTTCTACATCTGGCTTGTTCTGGCTCACTAGGGAGAGCGAGAAGACGAAGCTGCTGATTGCGGCTCAGAAGCAGAAGGTCGTGGAGAAGGAAGCAGAGACGGAGAGGAAGAAGGCCCTGATTGGTCTGTATATGCATCTCCCATAGATGTGGCTGGTTGGGAAACTTTCCAGGTGTGGGTGGGTGTCTAACCCAAACACCTCTCTGGAAGTACATGCAGCGCAGGTGCCACTGCTGGGTCTTGTGCGAGCAGCAGTGTAGTGGCTCTAAGAGATTTTAAATAAGGCGACCGTAAACAAGATGAACATTGGCTGTTTATATGAAGTGGGAAGGGGCAGAGACTGAAGTTTGGGGAGGGTGAGAGAAGCTCTAGCACATCTCTAGTCGAGCTGGTTCTGTCCAGAGTCTGTCAACAGCAAGCACAGTGACAGCCATAACTGCACCGCTGAATGTGTGAACCAAGGGATTCGCTGTGAATTTCTCTACTGTAAAATTCTGTGTTTGGATTAAATGTGCAGTCACAGGTTCCTGTGATTAAGTCTATTTTAAAATGAGTTCCCCCTAATTTGGGCTGCTGCCGGGAGTTCTTTGAACAGCTCCGTATCTTGTAGATAAGGACACTGAAAATGCAGAGGGTTCTCTTTCTGCTTGATACCCATCTCTTACTCATGTAAAGCCTCCAGCACAGCTCTGGACTTCTCAGATGGTTTTCCTGTGCTTGCTTTGCCTACAAACATCCCTTGATGTGACGCTGAACCTCTTGGGGGCTGAAAGTGTCTGCATGGGTATGTCCACACTGCAGTCTGAGGTGTATGTGCAGCATGTGTAAACATACCTAAGGTAGCTTTAATCTAGCTAACTGGGGTATCGATAGCAGTGAAGCCATGGCAGCATAGGCTAGCCGCCCAAGTATGTACCCCGGCTCCCTGGTGGCTTCACTGGTATTGGGACCTGAGCTAGCCAGATCAAAGCTAGCTCACATGGGTCTACACCTACTGCAGTTGTACCTCCGGTTACAGTGTGGATCTACCCTATAAGGATTGGGTTTGCCAGAGGAGTATTGCTTCTGTGGGAAAGGAGCTCGGATCATAACTCTTTGGGCATCGAGATGTTTCCTTTACCGCTGCAGAGGCAGAAAAAATTGCCCAAGTGGCCGAAATAACGTACGGACAGAAGGTGATGGAAAAGGAAACGGAGAAGAAAATTTCAGAGATTGAAGGTGAGCAACAACCTTTCCAATAAACAAATTCCTTTGTGCTTCTTCTTGGAAGATTTCAAAGCACATCACAGATATTTTAGTTAGTCCTCACGATGCTGCTATGAGGTGGGGCAGTATTATCCCTATTTCTCTTATCGGTAAACTGAGGCACAGAGCGAGCATGTGAGTTGGCCAAAGTCTAACCACAATACGACTGAGCCCCTGTGTGAAAGTATAGAGGCCTTTCATATTGAACCCTGGTGTATGGTTGATGCGATAACCTTTCATTTAACCCTCAAAATGCATTGCAACTTTCAAAACTTATTTGTCTGCATGCTCAGATTCTTCCTTCATTTCACACTGGAGCGCTTGGAGGGACTAGGTCAATTGGGAGAGTAGGACGTGTTTGCTCTGGCAAATGTACCACAGTTGGAGAGCCCCAAACAAACTTCAAGACACTTGTCGCTGCAGCACAGGAGGCAGACAGTGTGATTGTCAACAGTATTGCAGAAGCCAGCACTGCAGACTCCCACTCTTCCCACAGAGATTTGTTACCACCACTACAGTGTGTGGGACACACCTAAGAACCAGGCAGAGCATCTTCCAGAAGCGGAATATGCTAGAACTTCATTAGGAAATCCTCTCAGGGTGGGGTGCTGCCATGCCATTCCATTCAGGCACCCACAGTGTTCCATGGAAGTTTACATCTGCCCCTCTTTCTTCAGAATTTTTCTGAAATGTGGACACCCGTCAGGAGTTTTCAGTAAACATAGCTCTAGATTTTTGGTCTAGTCAAAAGAAAAAAAAAAAAAAGGCCAGTTCTGAGATAAGCAGAGACCTGCCTTGCAGCTTTCGAGATCCAGAGATCAAGGAAGGTGTGTGGAGAGGTGATGGGGGGGTGGGGGGAGGGAGGGAATCTCCCTAGGCTAAACAAGTGAGTGTTTCTCTTTAAGCATTATCAGCAGTAAACAAGCCCTATATTCTGTCTTCTCCTGTCATGGATTCCTGCATTATTCACATCTGGAGTTGCTGTTTGTTTCCTTTAGGAGCCAATATTGACTAGGGGCAGGAATAGAAGCATTTCCTTGCAAATTATCTCTCTCATAATTTTTCTTTTCCAAGGCGCTGGTTCTGAGTGCTTTATAGGAGCTTGAGCTCTTAACTGAGAGGGCTTTTTCCCCATGCAGTGCCTTGTGTCAGGCAAATTCCAGGACAAGAAAAGGACTCTGCCTCTCTGGCTCAGAGCTGCAAGGCCCTATTTCCAATTATGTTCATTATAGGCCCTGTCAAGCTTTGCAGAAGCCCACTGAGGAGCCAATTAGAGTTTTACAGATCAGCAGCTTCTCATTAAGAAGTTCCCAGCAGAACTACAATAGTTTTTATTTCTTATGAATACATGTCACCAGGAGCCAGGCCTTCACTCCAGTTCCATACCAGGCAATGGCCTGTGCGTCCTGCAGGCAGGGACTTTCTGCCCTGCATCAGCCCTTCCAGCTGCTCTTACTGAGTCGGCAGAGCTGTTCTCATTAGTTGGCCAAATGGAGCGAAGCCTCGATTCCCAACCTTCCAGCTGCTGGTATTGCTTTTAAATGTGGACGTTCTCCCTGTTGGTGGAGATAAAGGAATGGTTTATCCAGTTGTTTGCTTTGAAACAACTTGAATAGGACCCCAGTGCACTCAGCGAGCAATAACACTCCCCAATCCAAGCTTGTCAGAGTTGGGTGCCCTAAAACAGACCATGAATATCCAGGGAACATAGTGGACCATACAGATACGCCTGGCTTTACAGACTGCGCCAGTGTAACATTAGTGTTCGTTAAATATGGTTAACCACAAAAAGTCAGGGAAAAGGAAGAATGCAATAGGCAGTAGGGAAGTGTTGGTTTCTTTAGATGACCTTTATAAAATGTTTCATCTTGTATCCCTGCCTGATACTGACGGGAGGTGCTTCTCTAAGACTTGAGCACTCAGCATCTTGCAGGATCAAACCCTTTGTTTGCCGAGCTTTTGAAATCCTGGAAAAAGCCACATCTAAGAGCCCATTCAGGGGCCTGAGTTTAAGGGTTAAAGATCCCCTGGCCCTTTACACAAGAATTGGGGATGTTAGCCCCAGTGTCCTGGCCAAATTCCAGTTTGGGTAATTACATTCGCTACCTAAAATTCCCCCTGTGGTTTCAGTTTGGTGGGGTGTTCTTTATGTCCTGTCCAGATGTGGCGTGTAGGATTGCTGCCTGCTGTTCTGTAATGAGAGAGCTGCCATACTTTTTCCCAAGAGATGGCTGCGTTTTGGAGGAGAGTGAAGAGATTAGCCATTTGCCTCTCTTGCAGGGGAAGCGTTGGTGTATAATCATCCCATTACATTTCAGGTGTGGGGAGAAACTGTAGCTTCTGACCCTATTTCTTCCCCCATGGTCCAGGTGTGCCACCCATAGTTCAGAAGTGGTGTTGATACCCTGGCAGTGTGTGGATGCTACTGTAAATACAAAGATGGGTCCAAATGTGGAGCACATTTAACAAGTTACAGCAGCTGCATGCTCTATTGTGTTTAAATGGCTGCTGTGGTTTTCCTTCCAGATGGTGCATTCCTTGCTAGGGAGAAGGCAAAAGCTGACGCCGAATGCTACACTGCCATGAAGATAGCAGAGGCTAACAAGGTATTTATTTGTACTTTGTCATGGACCAGGTCCCATTGTGCTAGGCATGGTACAAACAGAACAAGAAGATGGTCCATGTGTCGAAGAGCTTATAGTTGGTTTAAAAAAAAAAAAAAAAAAAAAGCCAGCGGTGATGATGACTCCCTGCTACATGTACAAAATGAATGTAGTTACTGAAAATCAGGCCAGACTGATGTGGGCTCTCTTTGAACAGTGTTCACATTAGTATTTTGGTGGCATTATCTCTGGAGGAGAGTTAATCATGAGACTAGAATGGCACTTTGTCCAGGATGGGCAGGAATGGTGTCCCTAGCTCCGTTTTCCAGAAGCTGGGAATGAGCGACGGGATGGATCACTTGATGATTACCTGTTCTATTCATTCCCACTGAGGCACCTGGCACTGGCCACTGTTGGAAGACAGGCTACTGGTCTAGATGGACCTTTGGTCTGACCCAATATGGCCGTTCTTATTTTCTGTAAATATGAATCTGTCCAGGGGAAGCCTAAATGTGCTGGCTTGTGCTCTGTGGAGGCGGCTCTGTTAAATGCTTCTGAGACCAAGGCTTCCTCTCTAGAGAAAGCTGGAGCTGCAGCACTTCTATGTGATGCTAGCTCTGCTACAGCCAGAAAGTTTTAACTAATGTTTTTGTGCCACCTGGCAAACTTGTTGCACAAATGGAGCAGGCCTCTAGAGGATGCTTGTTATGAGAAGATGTGATTACAGGCCAGATCAGAATCATGCTGCTATTATGGCTGGAATTCATCAATCTAGCGGAACCGTGAACCTGTTGGGGAGCAGCAAGCGGGAGGAGAAGAAATCAAATGGACAAAACTCTCGGGTGTAGAGTTAGAGGGATCACTGCCAACAGCAAATACCAGAAGGAAACGTTGTTTTTGCTGGTGTTTCTTTAAATAGGAAAAAGATGGGTATTCATGTCTTCAAGTGTCTGCCAGGTACACTAGTGCTCTGGAAAAATGGTACCCTATATGATCACAACAAAAGCTTGTTAGTAAATCTGGATGGCTGCTGATGTTCTGTTTTCTCTTCATGCAGCTAAAACTAACTCCTGAGTACTTGCAGCTGATGAAATACAAAGCTATTGCATCAAACAGCAAAATCTATTTTGGCAAAGATATTCCCAACATGTTCATGGACCACACGGGGAGCAAGCCTGCAGAGGGACTGGTGGAAGAGATGAGAGGAGAGAATTGGGCCGCTGCCGCTGAGGATTTGTGAAACCATTTTATAACACCTAATGACCTTGCAAAATTTCTGTTTATTTTTTAACAGATGAAACAAACTGAGAAGTTGGTTTCCCCTTTTGATTTTTTCACTGTTCTGAAGCAGATGAGCCAGACTTAACCCTCTCAACCTTTTGTCTAGAAATCAGTTTAGACACAAATACTTTGATATTCACAGGCCATTTTTTGGTTACTTCTCAAGAGCCAGGTTCAGCTCTGCGCCGTATCTTGACTCCTCCCTTTTGGAGGCCTGATTATTCTGGAGCAGGGGGAGAATCCTGCAAATTTCCAGCAGGATGATTTGTTGTGTGGTTAGGTTGATTAAATGAAACTTTGAGTTCTGCATGAGCAGTTATAGCAATTGGGATAGGGGAGGCAATGCCCTTCTTTGCTGCTGGAAGCTGTCGTTTCTTTTGTTGGAGATTTCCATGACATTTTTTTGAGCCCTATGAAAGAGACAAAGGTGCTAGGATTTCTGAACACTACATATCCCAGCATAAGAAAGGCAGCACGGGTGTGGTGGCAGAGCTTGTTAATTTCCCATGTCCTGAGATCAGTGTTTTCGCATTCTCCGTATTTTGTAGAGGGATAAGGAGGTTCTAAATTCTGTAATTCTCTTTCTAGAAAATCATCTGTAGAAGTGGTACAACCGGGTCAGGGTTGAGGTGCTCTGGTGGGGGCAGTGTGAGTATACCCTGTTCCTGTTCTCTGGCTAAAAGGGACATCAGTCTCCCAAGATGCCAACATATGGTACCTTTCACCAACATCAAATTGACTTTTAGGAAAAGTAGCTTACAAAAACGATGAATCACTCAGACCCCCGTCTTGCAAACACTTTTGCAGGTGAGTAACTGTGCTCAAGTGAATGGTCTCATTGACGTATCATCTCCATAAGTGTTTGTAGGATTGGGGCCTACGTTTGAAATAGCCCAGCATGGTTCAGTGGCTGCCATACATTATCAGGAAGAGAATGTTCAGACAAGTTGAAGTGAATGGCTAATTTAGACCTCATGTAGGCATTTTGATTCATGTTTAGCAGGGGCATACAAAACACAGTATTGTATAGTCACAGGGAGAGACAGGTGCCCCGTTGTCTTTAGACAATTCAGAGAGCACAATTTCTCCTTCTCCCCCCCACCCCCCCCCAATGATACTGTAATACATGTGGTCCATTAAGGTGCAATTTGATTTGTTTTTAAGTCTTCAAGTATGCAGCTGTGAAGAGTCCATAGATTTTTATGATGTATTATGTGTGTGTGTATATATAGAGAGAGAGCTATAGATAGATAGATAGATAGATATACACACACACACACACACACACATATAGATATATATATGCAAAATCAGCTGGAGGGAAATAAAGGGCTTAGCATAATTCAGGGCAGGAGAGAACATCTGTTCCCCCCAGGCCATCTCCTCCCACTTGGCAGGAAAGCCTGTTTATTAATCACTGTTTTATTTTGCAACCTACACACAGATACTTGGTGGCTCCAGCCTGAGTGCAAACACCGTTGTCAGTGGCCAGCTTATTTCATTTATAATCTGTTGTTCCTTATCCTGCCACATGCTGCCGTTGGTATTAGCGTGCTAAACTCATCAGAGCACTCAACCTGTCTGGGTGTTTTTGTAACAACACGGCCCCAGTCAGATAGAAACGTGATGAATTTTTGCTGCTTCCAATATTTTTCATATTCGTTTTCTTTAATATTTTCACAGCTTGAATGACTACTACTTTGCCTGTACTTGAAAATGTAAAATGAAAGCTGCCATCAGTTACTGCATGAGAAAACTGATAACTCAATTTGCGGTATAAGAAAAGCCTTTATCTCTTTCTATATATTTTTTTACTTACTGGAAAACCTGAGGTTTATAGCTTAAATTCAGATTCCAGACCGATGTACTACATTAGACAACATTGCAATAGAAAAATTAAATCACTACCCCAGCTCTCACATAACTAGCATTTGCAAATAGGATTCTGCATAGAGAACGGGAAGAGCAGAACTTTTCTTTTTTGGGGGGTGGGGTTGAGGTTTATACTGAGGGTGGTCTCACTCGTTCAGGATTGTTTCACACTCATGGTAAAGATTTGCATCTAGTAACTAATGCGTAGTTTTTATCAAACATTTTTTACTAGCAAAAAAATAAAAAGCCAAAGTGTGTTGAACCTTTTTATATGACTTTCATGTAAAACTATGTGGAATAAATAGGACTTTTTATACCATACAATTTCACTATAAAAGAATGAGGAAAAACACAGAAAAAGAAGTAGCCAATATTAATACGACGTTAATTTAAAACACAATCTTACAGCCTAATTATTCCACCTGTTAACAGCTTAGGGTGTGTCTATACTGCAGCAGCGAGCATGCTGCCCTGCCCAGCTAGGCAGACTGGTGCTAGCTCGGCTTGAGCTAGTGCACTAAAAATAGCAGTGTGGACATTGTAGCTTGTCCACACTGTTGTTTTTAGTTGCGCTAGCGTGAGTCTGTCTACCCGGGCTGGGAGGCTCGCTGCCTGCTGCAGTGTACACATGCCCTTAGTTATTGCAGCTTGTGAGATGATAAAGTGAAATCTTAACATAATTGGGGGGGGTTTATCATAATTTAGCTAGAGCAAAGCTGACACCATGACTTTCTCTACCAGACTGAATCCAGTGTTGGCGTCTGACACAGTTTCTCCATTATTTTATACGTTTAAACTCTTTTGCCTTTCAGAGTAAATTTGCTACTATATTTGACTCTGTATTCCATCTCTTCCTTGTGAGAATAGTGACAGGATGTCAGCTGGGTTTCTTTTTTTTTTCTTTCTTTCCTGCATGCAAATTTGCAATGAGTATTTGAATGTTTAAAACCACTTGTTTAATGAAGGGACTACAAGGGGTATGTGAATGGTGATGTTTGAGAATCCCTGATGGAGGCATGAAAATAACTGCGTTGGCGGAGGAAGTTCTGACCTGGGCAAGCATTGGAAGTGACGTGTTGGAATAAAAAAGCCGTTTAATTTTGCTATTTGTTATAATGACTGAATAAAAGGTTTTTCACTTGTAGCTTTAATATTTTTTCAAGCATGAATGAGCTGGAAACATATTTGTGTGTACCTGGACAAGGCGTGGGAGGGGAAAGAGTTCTACTCTGGTCCCGCAGCTTCACTGTGACAGTTCAGGCATCTGTGTGCAGAGCAGAAATGTACACACTGTGAGCATGCTGCCTTTACCAATGTGCAGAGTGACTTGACTTGGAGTATAATTATTGGATGCCAGTGACAAATTTCTAGGGTGTGGAAGAGTTTGAGGGGAATAATTTTGTTCATTAACATGGTTGTTTTACCTTTAACCTGATGGGGCAGCATGGTGTGTTTTTAGAGCAGCTGTGTAAACACTGTCATTGTTCTGAATATCAGAAGAGAGAGGAAGGCAGTTGCCTTGCATCAGAAGACACATATTTTGGTTCAAGGTACCATGTGACTATCTTTCCATTAGATTTGAGGTGATAAAGACTGGGATCGTCACAGGACCCAGGGCAGTGGGGTATCCAATTCCTGCATAGAAATTCCTTTAGGCTCCCTTAACAATTCCAACTAGAATGTGTGATAGGGCTGGGGTCATTCACAGCACTGCTGAAACAATACCAAAGTCCTTGCGCTGCGAAGCTTCATCACTTGCTCAGATCTGATACATGGAACAGTAATTGGGGCCTGGAAAGCTTTGGAGACAGGGAGGCTCAGTGAACTAAGTGTGTGCGTTTAATAACTTTTTTTCAGTACCTTTGGCTGTGCCCTAGAGCAGCCATTCCTCACCAAGGGGGGGGCTCAGGCTCTGTGGACATGCAGTCCTGTCCTTCCTTGCTAGGACTGCCCATAAAGAGGCCAAAAGAAATTTTGTGATGTGGACACCAACAGGCTAGACGGAGTCCTGCAACTCCTTCCAAAAAAGCCTCTGATAGCAACGGCTGGGTGTAGTTGAAAGGGCAGTGTCCCACTGTGAATACCTCTAAGCCATCCAGTCCTCAATGTTTTAACAATAAGAAATAACATTAACTCAGTTTCCCGTCTGTAAAAAGGGCTAGTGATTCTGTCCTCTGTAAAGCACTGTGGTGGGTGCACATGTAAAGCGCTGTGTAAGAGCCAGGTGTTGTTATTACCAAGAACCCCATAGTGTACAATAGGATGAGTCAGCCTCCCTGAATTAATTAAAGCTAAGGTACCTTTTCTCTCTTCAGTTTCCTGTCAGAACAAAGGAGTCACCAAGCAACCAAATAGCTCAATTTGCTGTAATTTTTCTGAGTCACGAATGCAAAACATGAGCTAGGCAATTTAAAACAGTTAAACACTTATACGCCTGGGCTGGATGAAAGAAAAGGCCATCATGCAATAATTAGTGGCTGTGACTGATTTAGGCAAGATCTTGTCTTGCATAATGTGCTGCTTGCTTTCTAACTTGGTCTGCATTAAGGAACAACGAATCATTGTGTAACCCACCACACACACACCTGTTTACAAAATGGGGAATAACTGGCTAGGTGTGATCATACTGCTGACAAGGATCGGGGACTGATAGTGGATCGCAAATTGGATACGAGTCACCAGTTGCGAAAAAGGCTAATACACTGAGGTGTCGTAACAGGAGTATTGTATGTCTGACACAGGGGGTAATTGTCCTGTTCTGCTTGGCACCAGCTGGAGTACTGTGTCCAGTTCTGGGCAGCCCACTTTAGGAAAGATGTGGACAAATTGGAGAGAGTCCAGAGAAAAGCAACAAAAATGATAAAGGTTTAGAAAACCTGACCTAGGAGGAAAGGTTAAAAAAAAGCATGTTTAGTCTTGAGAAAAGAAGGTTGTGGAGGACCTGAAAAGTCTTCAGATACGTTAAGGGTTGTTATTAAGAGGACAGTGACCAATTGTTCTCCATGTCCACTGCAGGTAGGACAAATAGTAATCAGCAGCACTCACCTGGGATGTGGGAGACCCAGGTTCAATTCCTCTTTCTGGATTTGAACAGGGGTTTCCTACCTCTGAGCCGGGAGTTGGGCTGGTTCCTGTCCATGGATTGTTAAAATGAGAGAGGGGTGTGCTGGCTGGCTTAGGCAGTCCCTGCCTAGCTTGCTGGCTTGTGTGGATCGCATTCTTCAATGCTCTCTCTGCCCATTCATTGTAGAGGGAGCCTAGCTGCCTAACTTGTTCCTGTGATATTCTACATTCCTAAATTAGGTGCTGTGATGCTCGACGTTGCAATGTCTAAGTCTCTTTGTGGCTCCTACACATGGAGAGGCGTCAGGAGAGCAGAGGTCAGTGCCAAACTTGAACATGACTCTCTGACTCTTAGAGAATTAGGTAAGGAGGGGGAGAAAAGGGCAAACAAAATGAGTTAAAGGAATAAAGTAAAGCAAAATAAAAATAAATTAACCATAAACATTGGAGCCAGCAAAAATAGCTGGGTCCTAGCCAGGGCTTACTGCCCAGGCCACAGCGCTCCTTCTCAATACAAACATCTGTCTGAGCTCTCCAGTATTTACAGTTCTCATTTAATGCGGCAGGGACTGAAGGGAGGGACCTGGCAAAGGAAGATTTAGCTTCCTGTTTACCCCATTCCTCATTTTCAAACATGCATATTAATTGGCTGTTAAATGGGTGCACTGAAGAAAGTGGGCCCAAATGGGTGTCCTTGTCTCATTTGCCACAGCACCTCGACATGCCCAGCTGCCTCTCCTATGATTCTGCTGTCTCCGTTCCTGGCCAGCCTTGTGCTCAGAAGTTTGCAAAACTGTGCTCTGTGCATCCTTTCTGACCGGAGTTACCATTTTTCAGCCACTAAGAGTGTGTTTGCTGGGGAATAAAGATGAAATCAGCCTCTGAGGATTTAGTCTGAGTTTAGCGGCACTGATTCTTGTTGCATGTGGTTCCATATGAAGTCAGTGGATAAATATTTTCTGTTACACAATGCTGCCACGCTTTTGAGAGAAGGATTATATTAGATATATCTGTGAAGATAAAAGGAGCGAGAAACCAAACCCTTTTTCCAGTGAAGAGCAGGCCTTTTTCCAGTACCCTGTCAAATTCCTCCCTTGTGTATAGAAAAAGGCAAGAGCTTACTTGTTGACATCATTCAGTAATTCCCAGGTGGTTCTGTGGTGCAGAGCCTGTAGGGCAGTGAAGTGACTTCATTCAACAAATGTATTTCACTCAAGTGGTGTGTGATGACAGTTGGAAAAGCAACTATAACAATGCCATCATGGGGTTTCATGATTCAGTTATTCCAGATCAAATTTGCTCAGATGACAGATTCTCTTA